AAGTAAACATCTGGCTAAACTTTGAGCAGTCTTTTGTTCATGGCCCTCCTAGAAACTGCTTGCTCAAGTCTCAGGAAACTGAAATTGAGGCCTGATCTCTGAGAGAAGACTGAGCAGCCTGTTATGGCATCTGCTTGGTCCTTTCATTAGCAGTAGTATTAATAATGGCCGGACAATGGTGGCACATGCCTGTAAATCCAGCATTCAGGAGACAGAGGCAGGCGGATCTCTGTGAGTTTTGAGACCAACCTGGTCTATAGAGTGAGATCCAGGACAGGCCCCAAAGCTACACAGAGAAACCCTGTCTCAAAAAACTAATAATAATAATAATAATAATAATAATAATGCCAATCTAAGATGGCCTATCTAACAACAATAATATAAATAAGCTATTTCAAACAAACACAACCAAGAGGGATTTAAGCCTGTTCATTATATTATAGCACTGTGAGACTCAAATATTACAGTTTTTGCCTTTTGCAAAGTGTGAAATTACCCTCAAAGTTCAGACAAAGCAAAACAAAGGTGACTTATCTCTTTGCTCCAGGTCTGGGCCTTCAGCAGAGTAAGACTCAGTGCCTGGGGGTGTCTTCACAGCTGAGGACTGGAATGCTCCAGAGGCATGTTTACTCACACGGCTGATAGTTAAACTGGAACTACAGCTAAGCATCCACACCCAACCATGCTCTTCATGGACTCTGAGCTTCTCTTAGTACGGCTACTGAATTCAGGGTAGTCGGACTTACAAGGCAAGACTCAAATGCCTTCTATTTCAGTAAGCAAGTTGAAAGCTGTTTCATATTTTGTGGTCTAGCTCCCAAAGTCACAGAGCACCACTTCTAGTGTGTGGGGTTTTTTGTTTTTTTTTTGAGGTGGGGGGAGGGGATACAGGGAAGTCACTGAGTCTTGTTCAAATTTAAAGAGAAGGTATGTGGATCTCACCTTTTGATGAAAGTTGTGTCAAAGAATTTTCAGTCCCCTCCCCCTTTTTTTCCTTTTAGTAGGTTTTTTGTTTGTTTGTTTTTTGTTTTGTTTGTTTGTTTGTTTTTCCCTTTTAGTTTTTTGAGATAGGGGTTTCTCTGTGTAGCCCTGGCTGTCCTGGAACTTGCTCTGTAGACCAGGCTGGCCTGGAACTCACAGAGATCCACCTACTTCTGCCTCCAAAGAACTGGAATTAAAGGTAAGTGTCATCATGCCAGCTTTGTTTTTTAAACTGTGGGGCTTTTAAATGTCCCAAAGAAATCCCGGCTATCTAGATTCGAAGGCCAAGTGTTCTACTTTGCTTTTCATTGTTGTGACAGATACCAAGACCAAAAGCAACTCGGGGAGGAAAGGGTTTATTTCAGTTCCCAGGTTCTAGTCTATCGCCTAGGGAAACTAAGCCAGGAGGAACTCAAGCGGAAACGTGGGGGGTAAAACCTGAAGCTGAGGCCGTGAAGAAGTGCTGCCTAGTGGTTTGCTCCCCGTGGCTTGCTCAGCTTGTTTTCTTTATTTTCGCGGTTGAAGAACAGCTTTTATTGGTGACAAGGACACAGACATACAGCAGACACACGGGGGAAAAAAAAAAAGAACCCACACAAAGCTGACGGGGGACTCGGGAAGCTGAAAAACCTAGCTTCGTCTTCAGGCCTGGGGTTCAGTCTCTGAAAGGCCTTCCGTCCCTAATTTAGGGCTGGTCGGTTGGTAGAAAGACTCGGAGGCTGATTGGCCCACAGCTGCTGTGTAAACCTATCCTGATGTGGCCTTGAGCTCGTCGACCCAGTCAGTCCCTTAGCTGAGGCCCACTGGCAGCAGCAAAGCCCACAAGGCCTTTGTTTTAAGCTGCCTTGCTTTAGTCTCAGGTTAGGAGGGTGATGAAGAAGCTGGCCATCTTGAAAGTTCAACATCTTTATAACCTAGTCATGGCCCTTCTCCCTCTCTGCTTGCCTACCAGGGAATCTGACTCCTCCCCTCCTCCCCCCCCCCCAAAGGTCACCCTAAGGGCTGTTAGGGGCCTGGGGCACAGACTGCTCCTACCTGATTCGAGCTGACAAAAGGGGTGAGAAGTGAGGGGCAACAGTCAGAGTGCCTCAGAAAAAGGTTAATCTAAGGGGTCACGATAAAACTTAACCAACAGCAATGATCCAGTACATAAAACAGTCATTTAGTGATAGTGTATATTCTTGACATGTGCTGTGAGGGATGTTGCGTCAGCAAAAGATGCCTCTGCCCATCTGTACCAGATGCAATGTTCAGTGAAGTGGACAAAACCCGAGTGAAATCCACATTCTATTTGCCGAAGTCACAATCAGACAGTAGCATCTAAGTGACAACCTTGATGAGTTGGTGGTCCTCAAAAAAAATCCTGGACGAGGTCTCACAAAACGGTACCATCTAGGGGTCTTGATTGGGTTTGTTTTTTTCCTGCCAGTTAAAACATTAAAAGGCAGGAAAAATCTTGAGTTTGACTGTGATTGGTAGCAGTGGAGAAATCTGGAACACAGCAAACAGGAGCAGACCAAATCAGCAGCTGAAGAAAGGCTTTTATTGAGGGTGAGGAAACACACACACACAGCAGGTACACAGTTAACGAAAACTAACCAGCACACAGGGCTAACAAAAAAAAAAAAAGTTGGGTGAATGGAAACTAACAAGAATCCATATTAAGGGCTGGAGAGATGGCTCAGAGGTTAAGAGCACTGGCTCTTCTTCCAAAGGTCCTGAGTTCAATTCCCAGCAACCACATGGTGGCTGAAAACCATCTGTAATGAGATCTGGTTCCCTCTTTGGGCCTGCAGGGATACTTGCAGGCAGAACACTGTATACATAATAAATAAATAAATCTTTTTTAAAAAAAATCCATATTAAATGGATGAGACCAGCCATCTTGTGAAGAGATAATCATATAAGACAAGGTCACTGTATATAGATTGATGCTGATAAGGATAGTGTTGAAAATGTCTTAGAAGTTTTAATGTTATGAAGAAGTGTTATAATGCTATATCCCTAGGGAATAATTTTTAAAAGTAAACTAAGACAGTTAGGGACTAAAAACAAACAACCCAAACCCTGACAGATGTGTTTCCAACAAAATCAAGGGGGAAGGGACCCTACCTGGCTGTTACCCCTGGTTTAGTACTCTTAGCCTTATGTGTTTATGTGTTTATGGGTTTTTTTAATGGTGCCTTAAACTAGCACAGCTTTGATAACATCATCTCTGTAGTTCTCTCTCTCTCTCTCTCTCTCTCTCTCTCTCTCTCTCTCTCTCTCTCTCTCTCTCTCTCTCACATCTGTTATTCAAGACAGAGTTTCTCTGTGTAGCCCTGGCTGTCCTGGAACTTGCTCTGTAGACCAGTCTGGCCTTGAACTCAGAGATGCGCATTACTGCCAGTCTTTTTTTTTAAATTATTATTATTTCTTTTACTCATATACGTCAAACCATCTTCTGATTTAAAGGTAGTTCTCAAGGAAACTTCCCTACTTAGAAGAGAATGTACTATGACATTGGCAAACACCGAATGGTTATTCGATCAGAGTGTTATTTTATTTTTTTTTCAATATACAAGAACTTAATGTTTTGATTCAGCAAGCAGCCACACATGCACCTCCTACCTTACCTTGAAAAGAAGCATCAGCTCCCAGGCTGATGGAGACCAGATCAGAAGTGCAGACATCTTGCTTCAGAAAGCTTTCTACCTCTCAAATCGTCCTAAACACAATAAAGACTGCCCCCCCTTTCCACTAATAGAAGTGCGCGCGCGCGCGCGCGCACACACACACACACACACACACACACACACACACACACACAGACAAATCAACTCAAGCTTCCATGACCCCATGTTGTTACTGTGGCAATTAACTGTACTCTATTGGTAATCTGTTTTTCACTCCTGTTTTCTCTCTTCTTTATCACATCCTCTCTCCATTATTTCCTTCTTTTGGTTAAATGTATTTTAAACAATAAATTGGATTTAATTTCGTTCTGTAGCTTTAGCTTCTCAAACATAATTTAACTCTCTTCTCCCAAATTTTCTTTTCTTTCATATATATATAGTTTGTGGAGAAACCTTGGACCAGAGTCTACAAAATATTTTGAATGGTTTTCTTTGAAATGAAAAATAGTTTTGATGTTTATAATGTCTAGAATGCTATGTGCTTTTCTCAGGCCCTAGTGCATGGAAGGAGCCGTTGATACTAAATGAATGAAACTAGGCAGCAAATGCACCGAGCACCAGGTTCTAGGTTTTCATTTATACTCACTTCAACTGACCAAGTCCTTTAAGGACAGTATACAAGCCCCATACTGAGAATTTAGCTGCTCCACGACGTATTTTTATGAAATTTGTCTTGGCTGATGTTTCAACCTTGGGATTTAAGGGTTTTTTTTTGTTTGTTTGTTTGTGTGTGTGTGCCGTCCCCCCACCCCCAGAGCTTCTTTGCAATGGCAGTAAGTCACAAGTAGTATAGGCTTCCCGGCCAACTTCCTCCCTCAAGGATTTTAACTTCTCTGAGAACACCACCCCTGCTCTTCTAGTAAATCCCACACGACAAGAACAGGCTGAGGACGGAGGAAAAGTAGGAAACGGGAGCCATGGAAACTGAGCGGGGGGGGGGGGGGGGGGGGGGGGTTGGGGGGGGACCGTGTGAGCGCGAGGGTGGTTGGAGGAGAAGGAACACTCCCCTGACGACGGCGGCGCCGCGAGGGGTGCTCCTCGGATGACGTCACGCACCCGGGTGACGTCACGGCCGTGACACGCGGGTGACGCCGTTGCCGCGGCGACTCCTCGTCGTCGTCTCCGCCCCTCCCCTTCCCCTCCCCCCCACCCCACCCCCATCCCACCCCCCCTCCCCACCCCCCAGTCCCCTCAGGCTCGGCTGCGCCGGGGGGCCGCCGGCGGGTTCCTGAGGTGGCCTCCGCCCCGGCCGCTCCGCCCACGCCCCCCGCGCCTCCGCGCCCGCCTCCGCCCGCCCTGCGCCTCCCTTCCCCCTCCCCGCCCCGCGGCTGCCGCTCGGCCCCGGCTTGCGCTTCGAAGATGGCGGCGCTGAGTGGCGGCGGTGGCGGCGGCGGTGGCAGCGGCGGCGGCGGTGGCGGCGGCGGCGGCGGCGGCGGCGGCGGCGGCGGCGGCGGCGGCGGCGGCGCCGAGCAGGGCCAGGCTCTCTTCAATGGAGACATGGAGCCCGAGGCCGGCGCTGGCGCCGCGGCCTCTTCGGCTGCGGACCCGGCCATTCCTGAAGAGGTGAGCGGCGGCGGCGGCGGCGGCGGCGGCGGCGCCATCCCCCAGGGCTCTCGCGTCGGGGGCTCGGCGGGCCGGTGTTTATGTGAGGGACCGGGGCGGCGGAGGGAGCTCCGGCCGTGCGGGGCAGCCGGCGGGGATGTGGCTATCGACCGAGTGTCCCCCTCCGTCTTGCGGCTCCTAGCTACGTAAACACACACGGTGGCCCAGGGGGGTTCCCCGACCCCCACCCTGATGGGGTTGGGGCAGCGGGGGCCGAGCTGGAGCCTTTCCAGAGGGGGCGAAACTCGGGGCTGGTGGAGAAGGTCACGCCTGGCTGAGGTTTCCAGCCCGGCATCCCTGAGATGGTTTTGGGTTTTTTTTGTTTGTTTTTTTTGGTTTTTTTTCCTTTTTGCTAGCCGGCAGGGACGGCGTCGAGGATGGAGCATAGTGGCGGCCCGGGCAGTACCCCTGAATCCCCCAGCCCTAGAAATTGCCGCGTGTGATTACTCCCTGGTCGTGGGCATGACGGAGCGCATCTCTCTCCGCTCTCCTGTCTTCCCTTTGCAGGCCCTTGTCGCTTTCCCACTTTTCTACTTGTTTGGGGGATTTCTCTGGACAGGATTTGCCCAGGGGATGGTTTTTGGTGTAGCCTTGACTTTTTTTCAGCCCCAGATTCTAATAACAATGTTTGTCAGTGTTCCCATGCTGACCCGTAACCTCCGTCCCATCCTCATCCACCACCCCGCTCATTTCCCAGTTGTACCACTTGCTTCTAACCTTAGCTTCCACTGAGGAGCATTTTTGCGCTTCTCTTGCCCTGGTCCTTTGAGGCCCTCTACCCCATTCTACTGCTCCCTCGCATCGTTATCTATGTTATCTTCACAAATCTTTCTGGTCACTTTGGAAGCGACCCACTCCCTGCACCCCAAGGCTGTCAGGATTCCATCAGGTTTCACCTGCTCCCTTGCTCCCTTGCACTGCTGGCCATTTGGGTTAAGTCTTTCGGGGTTGATCCGCACCTCTTGATTGACATCTTCGTGTTTTTTGTTTTCAGTGGGTTTAATTGATCTGTGTCGTTCCCATTTTCTTCCCATTTTTTTCCTCTTTCATGTTTACTTGTCTTTAGTATTTGCTTCTCATAACCTGTCCTTGCATCATTCAACTTATTATTACATTGTCAAATTACTTAATTTATTCTTTTTTTTCTGTATGTAAAACTTACTACATTTACTATTTGAGCACTGTATCACATAAACAATACCATATTTTACAAACACTTGATTAGTGTGACTTAATTTTGTTGGTTTTGCTTAAAGATAAACCTGTTACTTATGTTTCCCAATTCTCATACTATCTGCTTTCTTATCTCTGCAATATTCTTTTCCCTGCTTCATTATATTTACTTGGGAAATTCATCCTCTACTCGTGATATATTAGCAGTCTGTTCACAATAATGTTTGTTTTCCACCCTTTTATGCTGTCTCTGACCAAAATGTGCTCAGTACCATCATTTGAGCTAGGCTGTTTCTCACATTTTTTTCTTCTTTCTCTCTGTCTCTCAGTTTTTCTTTATTTTTTTATGTTTATTCTTTTTGGCTTTTTGAGACGAGAGTGTCTCTGTGTAGGTAGGCCTGGCTGTCCTGGAACTTGCTCTGTAGACCAGGCTGGCCTCGAACTCGTAGATATCCGTCTGCCCCTGCCTCTCAAGAGCTGGGATTAAAGGCATGCACCACCACCACTACCTGGCTTTTTCTTGCTCCTTAATTTGAAATAACTCCAACTTCCAGTTTGAATTTATGTTCAGGTCAGTTTCCACTTAATTTCTTTATTTCCTGTAGCTTCTTAGATTCCAAGGATAAAGCTCTTCCCATCATCCATTTCCTAGTTCAATCTGTTTCCCTTATCCCGAGTTACCATTCATTCTGTCTTGTTTCCTGGCTTTGGGTACTTAACTTGCTGAAGCTTCCTCTTGTCTTCCCCACACCTCCACATTCCTTCTTATTTATAAACAACGTTGTTCCGTTGACATGGAAATTTATTTTTAGGATATATTGTTTTAATGGAGAAATGCTAGGGGTCACATCTGCTGTCTGTTTTCTCCAGGAATCGGATATGCCTTTGTCTTACTAGGCACAGGTGCCTCTGGGCTTCACTTTACTCTGCAGTGCGTGTATGGTTTTCTTGAATTGTAAAGATGCTTGAAGACTGATAGAAAGATATATGGGTAAATTAATGGATAGGAGTTATAAAATGATAGTTTTCTGATATGACACTAATTTGAGATCTTTGTTTCAGAGTTATTAGGACAGTTTACATTTCTGTATGGAAGACTTTGTTTTCTTGAGGGAGCTAGATTACTTGGACCTTTTATCTCCTCCCCCCCAACCCCCTTTCTTTCTGAATAGTGAGTGTTAGGGCTATAACTTTCTGTTTGGCACTTTCTGGGCATTTCCCATGTACCAGTGCTTACGAAACTCTAGGCTACGTGAAGTTAAATTAAATCACCAATAACTCATTGAAAGCATGGTCATATCTCCTGAAATTGTATTCTTTATTTATTTAGTTAAAAGATGTTTCCTATTGCCTGCCTCCCAGGATTTGTTTGGTGCTGAATAGTTGTCTTGTGTAGAAGATGATATATATATTTGGCGGGGAAGATAAAAAGTGGACCTCTATTGACTACAGGTACAAATATTATATGTAACAAAATAGATTCTTCCAGGAAATAGTATCATGCAGCCCAGGCTTTTCAGGAACTCAGCAGTAGGCTGAGGCTGTAGGACTCCTGGTCCTTCTGCCACTACCTCTTATGTGCTGGGATTACAGGTATGTGTCCCTACACCCAGCAAGAGATAGTTTTAAAGTTGACGTTAATCCAGAGGAAACTGAAATGTCTTGTGGTCTTTTAATTGAACTTCTTTATGTGAACTAAGGGAATATCTTTAATAAGTACCATGGAAAGATGAAAAATTGTGCATGTGTGTAATGACATTTTATTCTAAATTTTTATCTTACCTGGGTTTAATAAAAGTTTGTCAAATTTCAGCTGCACCAAAAATTAGTTATAGGGGGAAAGCCTGTCCATCATTGAAAAATTTTTTAAAAAGTACAAACTTTCTGTATAATTGCTATAGACATTTGCATGTATTACAACTAGTCTTTTTAATTTAATGCTTGTGTAACACATTTTGTATATAGATTTGTAACTTTTAAAATATAATAATTTGGCCCAACTTTATGTGTCCCTAGGTAAAGTATGATTAATAATTTTTTTGGACATTAAGTTATTTTTTAGAAAATTTGCTGCTGTCATACATCTTCAACATAGAATGTAGACAGTGGTATGCAAAATTATGCTGGAGAATGAACAGATTTGATGGCCTGTATTTGTATTACTTTATAGGTGCTCAAAATAAAATGTTCTGATAAATGACAAGAACTTACTAAATGTTTATTAAGTGTATGTATAATTTTGCTATTAAGCATTTACTTCTGACCATTTATAGTTCCTTGATGATACTTTCTTCCTGAGACCATCTGGTATGACATGGTACATGGTATAATATTACCAGATGGTTAATAATAAATGCATTTATTACTTAAATGTGTGATACCAGGGTGTGATATTTACTACCTGTTCCATTCATGCTGTGTTTCTGGAGAAAGAGAGTTTCTTAAAATGGTAATACAATTAGAATTTTATTATTTTCTGTTTTCAGGATCTCTTAGCCAGTCTTGGCTAAGCTGTGTAATTATAATAATGTATTGGCTAGGGAATATTCAAGGATGGGATCTACTTTATAATGAGGCCCACTGTATTAAAATACATCTTTGTGAACCCTGCCAGGTCAGGTTGCATCATACCTCTGAAAAGTAATATTCTCACTATGGTAGAAAGGTGTATGTGCAGAAAGTTTTAGCTGTTGTTATTAATACTTGTTTAGATATATGCAGAGATTTTGTTTGAAGGGGGAAGCCATAAAGTAGCTGTTTGTCTTCAGTATTTCTCTGTTGCTCCCTTTCTGAACCCTTTCCCTTTTCCTGACTTAACACTTTACTTAAGGCATCCATTCATCCTTTTATTTAAAAAAAAATTATCTTGTGCTGGGCGTCGGTGGCACATGCCTTTAATCCCAGCATTTGGGAGGCAGAGCCAGGCGAATCTCTGTGAGTTTGAGGCCAGCCTGGTCTACAGCGCGAGATCCAGGACAGGCACCAAAACTACACAGAGAAACCCTGTCTCGGAAAAAACCAAAACAAACACACACACATATCTTGTATCAGTTGCTTATATATGCTGGCAATCTATTGTCAGTTGACCATAAGGAATGTTGGACTGGGTGAGTGAATTATGGAATGTCTTAAACATAATGGCAGATTTGATTTAATTGTGTTTGAGGCCAGAAAAAAAGTAGTACAATAGACTAGAGCAGTCAGACTTTTCTTGGTTTTCTCTCCCCCGTTTTACTGATAGAACGAATAGGTCTAACAGCAGCTGGAAGGCCATGTTCTTTGAGGGACAAGGAAGAAAGTCAGTGTTGTTTTCCATGTGCTTTGGTGCCGAGTCACACACTGGGGCAACCGCTGCTGCTGCTGCTGCTGCTGCTGCTTCTCCTCCTCCTCCTCCTCCTCCTCCTCCTCCTCCTCCTCCTCCTCCTCCTCCTCCTCCTCCCCCCCTTTATCTCCAATCATACAATTGCTTTCTCCTTTAGAGCTGCAGAAGTGCATTTTTGTTTCATTGACAACTTAACGTTAATTTAAGTGAGTACTTGGTGAACTTCTTGTCACAATCCCTTTCTTTTTAAAAATCTTGTTTGCTCCTATTCCTGGATTCCTCTGCCAAGTTCCTATTAAGATAAGCCTTTTTGTCAGCAGCTCTTATGAGATTTTGTCTTCCTCAGAAGTTAAATTGTTTGCAGCCCTTTATTCTTTCCCCTTGCCTAGTTCACCTATGTTGATTTTTCTGAAAAGCCTCAATTATGAATAAATAATTATAGAACTTTTGGATTCAAAATTCGTGG